AGTGCTGGCAGTCCGTTTCAATGGACTTCGTCTTCGGTTTCCCCGAAGACGCTCACAAGAATAATGGTATTCTTGTGTTTGTTGACCGCTTCAGCAAGATGGTCCATCTTGCTGCTGTCCCTGAGTCGATCAAGGCTCAAGGTTGTGCTCGTGTCTTTCTCGGCACGGTCTTTAGACTCCACGGGTTACCCCGTGAACTCGTATCCGACCGTGACCCTCGGTTCACGGCGGCATTTTGGCAAACCGTGTTCCGTTCTCTTGGAACACGATTGAAGATGTCCACTTCTGACCATCCCGGAACAGATGGTCAGACGGAACGTGCGAACCGTGTCCTCGAAGAGATCCTTCGAGGATATGTCCACTCGTTCCCGAGTTGGAGCGAATTCCTACCCATGGTGGAATTCGCCATCAATAATTCGGTGCATGCTTCAACCCAGCACACACCGTTTTACGTGAATGGGTTACGCCATCCACGTGTACCCGCCCTTCTAGAGTATGACTCTTAGATAAGGGGGGAGGGACTCGCTCGAGCAAAAACCGTTTTGGCTCTTGCTCATCACGTGTCGACGCTGACGTCGTCACGTATGATGCCGATGTCGACAATGTCGACATCGATGAAGCACACCACCGCAATAATAGCGACAACGCTATTATTGAGTCGGATGATGATGACGATGCTGGTATATTCAGCATCGTCAACGATTATTCCAGCGAAGAAGAAGACAACCTCGCTGAAGAAGAGAGCAATCTCTTAGCAGTGCGCACGAAGCGCACTGAAAGACAAAACAACGAGTCAGCAGAGAACTTCCTGCTGACTCGAGAGGCGGTAGTCCGTTTCGTTCAGGACGCCATCGCAAATGCGGCGGACCGTCAGAAACGGAACGCAGACAAGAATGGAAGAGCAAATCTTCTTTCATTTAATGTTAATGACCTAGCACTACTGTCTTCGGTAAACTTACCTGGACATGCAGTCACTAGTGTCGGCAGTAGTAAACTACTGCCGAAGTACATTGGGCCATTTCGAGTGTTGCATCGCAAGGGCAATGCATACACAATCGAATTGCCACGTAAGATGCGCACGCATCTTACGTTTTACGTGGGGCGACTCAGTCCGTACTGTCAGTACGAGCCTTCTTCTTCCGATGATGATAGCCCCCACGTTCAAGAACATCCATCAAGTTCTTGCGCTCGCGCTCCAGACGATCCGTCTGGTCGCGCAGATATGATACCTCGGAACTCAACCGAGATATCTCCCCGCGAGCTGTCGCCAGCTCGCCGAATAGGGAGCGGATATCCCGCTCATCCTGAAGCTGCGCTGTGGCATAATCGGCGCGATTCCTCGCCCGGTCAGCCTCGTTATCCTTGCGGTTCTTCCGCACGGTATCAGTCAAAGCGTAGCGTCGGTCGCGCTCGTGCTTCAAGTCATCGCGGAATTCATCGATTGCGCGATGCATCTCGTAAGGGTCGAGATGGTGAACCGAATCATCTGGAGGAGGTATTTCCTCCTCCAACACATCCTTTGGTGGATGATCACGGTGATCAACACTTTCTAGTGGAGCGTATCTTGAATCACCGTGACGATTCAGGATCAAGGACGAGCTACCTCGTCCAGTGGAGGGGGTATCCACCCTCTTGGAACAGCTGGGAGCCCCGCTCTCATCTGTTGATGGATGTTGAAGGTCTCGTCCGCCAGTATGACGAGACTCATCCGATTGGTCCGAGGGACCATCGGTAAACACGCGCCCTAGGCGCTTGTAGACGGATTGCAAGTTTGCAATCGCGTCACGCATCATAGCCGAGATGTGTGCCCTTTCCCAGGGCGAACTTAGGAAATACACGTCCCTATGCGCACGTTGCGAGTTGTCAGCACGACTCGCACAAGGGTCTCCCCAAGTGAGGCATGGAACGCCGGCCTCACTTGATAAACAATGCAACCGGTATCTGGCACCGGTTGGCGTTCGCTTTTCGAACCTGAGACGTGTTGCCTCAAGCTTCTTGAGCCACCCTTCTCGTCCAAAACTCTTTAAGTTTTGGACGAACGCGTTCCACGCAGCCAAAAGCGAGTTTTTGTCACGCTTTTGGTTGCCGTTATACCATCGATGTCTAAGGAAGACATCGAGATAATAGTCTTCCTCAGCGCGAAAGTTGCTCGCGCTGGGATCCAAGCCGTGAAGCTCAGTCGCATCGAATAAGGGTATTCGATGGTGTTGGCTTGTCTCGTGAGACAAGCCATTGATGAGCCGTTCAGGCAAACGCGACGGCTTCAGCTCATCACGCTTTACAGTGGTACCTTTGTCGGTACCACGGCCTTCAGTATGACGATGGGTTGCACCATCGTCAAGTCGCTCGTGCGAAGGAGCACGAGCTGATTGCGGTGATGAGCAAACATACTCATCATCAGATTCGTCATCACTGCCGAACAGACTGTGTTGCAACTCACGAGTCCGTTCGTTCGGCAGTGGCCTTGGCGAACACCGAGGCGTCGCCGGTGATCGAGACGCCTCTGCAGCATTGCCTGAGTCAGACACGTCTGACTCGCCAGAGTAGATGACCTCAATGTCAGGGTCATCATGCGCACGCGGTGCTGTACCGCGTGCACCTGCAGCACCTCTTGCTGCAGGCGAAGAACGAGCAGCAGACGACGAATCGTCTGCCGCAGAAGCTGGCACAGGCACAGACTCTGTGTGCCTTGAGTCACCCCGCATAGACATGTTAACTATGCGAGGTCAGTTTGAGTTATGAATGGAACTGACCCAACAAGTGCTCCCTGTCCCAATGGTGTCCAACGGGTGGCCGCCATATTTTCGATAGTCACACGGTGACCATCAGTTAAGGGGGGGGTGATGTAACGGGGCAGCCCGTTATATGGAAATTGTCATTTGAGAGATAATGACAATAAAGAATATTTTGTTGAATGTTCTCTGAACAATATCACCAATAGTGGTGATATTGATGGGTCGACCAAAGAGTCTGCTCATTGGTTGATATCTTGATGATATCAACCCACCAATCGCCGCAAGACGCGCGCAATGAGTGGTGAGTAGACGCCGTCATACACTCAGTTATATTAACATCATTAAGTCAGGTTAAACAGAGAGACAGTAGCAAAACGACTTAATTATATTAATACAACAATTTTACTTTCTCCTTATCCTACTCTTCCTCGTTCGCCTCGTGTACGTCTGTCGGGGCACCCGAAACCCTTGCGTTAAGTTCACGCAAGGGTGTGCCCCGTTACAGCAGCCGTCATCGCACTGCAAATGAGCGCCAGCTCGGCGTTGCTCATGCCAAGCACATTTACACTATATAGCAGAGCGTGGGAAAAACCGTCGGAACGAGCTGACTGGTAACCAGTACACAGCGCTTACGCCGCCTGGAGCTCAACATACCCTCTTCCAATCCGAAAAACGGTGTTCGTACACGCTGTCTAAACCTCCGGATGGATGAATACATACTCGACGACTGGCGACAGCGACAAGCCTTTTACTCGGTGAGCCGACGAAAAAACTCCTTTGACGCGTACAGTATCCTCGGCTGAAGCTGTGGCCGCTGAAGTGTAAGGCAAAGATGCAACTTTGCACTAGAAGCTGGTAAAGTAAAACCAACAGGAAGACGCGCATACAATCTCGTACAGAGCCTCTTGCGATGGTAAGAAATAAACTCATGTCGTTCAGCACCGACAAGTGTTTTGGTGACAAAACGTGATGACTGTGTTAGGAAGATACCAACCGTTAGCCATGTCGTTGGTGTTTGTTCCTCAAGGGAAGTTATTTCACGTTGAAATCCATCTATACGGTATGTAGCGATAATCCTTTCCCGCGCATTCGTAGAAAGGGCGGTGCTCGCGTCCCATCAAGTGGAAATCCGGTTCTGCTGTCTTATCACTGTCTCCGTTTCGATGACGGTGCTCCTTTGTCTGTCAATGAGACCTAAAGCTTGCGAATGCAAAAGCAGCCGTTCATCTGTAACATGACTGCCAAGATCCAGTCGATGCGTGCCCGCGCCATCTTGACATTTGGACGGTACTACTGACGCCACCGTCTGCGGAATACGATCGATTGCAACGAGCGTCGAGATGCCGGCGATATCTGACAAAACCTGGCCCACTTCAGACCACGCAATCGTAGACAGCTGGCTGAACTGTGATCTCGACTCATCGCCATCATCAAATGCTTCGACCACACGTGGCTATGTGCCAATACTACTGACTGCTGTAAAGATAAAAGCGAAAAAAAGATGGATTGAAGGGGATAAAGTTCATGCTGGAGGACAAGCTGGCAGCTGACATTGATATGTCCATGTGTAAGATTAGTGTCGAAGGAAGAGCTTAACCGTCACATTAAAGAGAATGACAGTGCTGTATCAAAGAGTCCAAATCGATTGTCAGAGACCCATGATCGCATCGGACACGACGAGAGTGCTCTCGTTGTAGCTGACCCGTAAATGAAACGTTGGACGAGACTCGAAATGCTTACGACGACAAAACGACAGTTCATTGGAAACGTGAATTTCGTCGCAGGAAGGTGCGCTTGGACAATGGAGCAGAATGTCTGACAACATACTGGCTATCTGCTTGATATTGCCACAAAAACGTCATCGTGCTGTGATGTCCGAGCGAGCAATGAGGTCTGCGCAGGTTACATTCCTGACAGAACACAGCATGAACGACACCAGTGTTCGTACCGGGCTTTGGGCGGTCAAGAAAAGACCAAATTGGGCATAACCAATGTCGCTTTGCACGGTCCTCGACTTTATGCTGCTTTTCATCGAATCGATATCATCCCGCGCATCTTTGTACGTTTGGTTTTCTGTACGCACTCCAACGCTCCCGTCCGTCCAATAATCCGCGCCGTCGACCGCGTGGTCGTGCACACCAAACGGTCGCGGTAGTCATTTTGCTTAAGTGCGCACCCGCCCCCTTCGCACACGCACGCCCCCCCCAATGCGCAACACGCTCAACCTCTCTAACTTGATCAATCCGTCCGCCCGCTTCTTCGTCCATGTGGCGCGCGGTCGTGCGCGCGTCCGGTCTGTCGTCGCTCCCCGCGGCAGCGCTCGCCGCAACGCTCTCGTCGTGCTCGCACTCGTCAGCCACTGAACCAGTGCAGTGTCTCCCGGACGCACCGCTTCCCGACGCACAGCCCTTCGTACCGCCGTCGGGAGACAAAGTGCGGCTCTCGCGTCGCTTCACGCGCCGGAAACAGATCAAACACCACCGGTACGTCATCGTCGGCTCCGGCACGACGGCCAACGCGGCCATTGAGGCCATCCGACAGGAAGACCCGCACGCCGACATTCTCGTGCTCAGCGACGAGAACGCACTGCCGCGTCGCGACTTTGGCGGCTGTCAACCGGCGGCCGACACCGACCGTCAACCCACCGACCAAACCGACGGCCGTCGGCCGCCGCCGGACGAGCCGCTGTCGCCCGCACTGCTCCAGAGCTACAACGAGTGGCGCCGCCACTTGAGCGCGCGGTTCGAGGACGACGTCGCGTCGTCGTCGGCGTCGCGGCCGCCGCCGCTGACGCTGTTGCTGGACAAGCGGCCGCTCGAGTTCGACGTGGAGAAGAACCGCGTGCTGCTGGGCGACGGCACCGACGTGCGCTACGAGCGCTGCCTCGTGGCGTCGGCCGGGCGGCCCAAGCACTTTTACGTGCTCGACAGCGCGCGCGTGTCGTACGCGCTCAAGGACCGCGTGAACACGTGCACGACGCGCGCGGACTTTGGCCGCCTCGAGCAGCTCGCGGCCGCCGCTGCGCCCCACGACGTGCAGAGTGTGCTCGTGATCGGCGCGGGCTTTCTCGGCTGCGAGGTCGCTTGCGCGCTCGCGACCGACGACCGCCGGCGCCGCGCGCGCCTCGCGACGAAACTCGTGTTTGTCGAGCAGGCGCCGAGCGCGCGGACGCTGCCGCTGTACCTCGCGGAGGAACTCGCGCGGCGGCTCGCGCGCGCCGGCGTGGACGTCGTGCCGGACCGCCTGGTCACGGGCCTGCGGCCGAGCGTCGACGACGAGAACAACGAGAGCGATTGCGGCGTGACGGTCCACGTGCTCGGGCAGGACAGACCGGAGGCCGCGCTGGACGCCGACTACGTCGTGCTCGCGTCGACGCACACGGACCCGGTGCCGTCGCTCCGCATGGGCCGCGCCACGCGCGCCGGCGGTGGCCTCGAGCGCGACGAGAAGAACGGCGGACTGGTTGTGAATGCACAGCTCGAGGCCGTGTCGGGGCTGTTTGTTGCGGGCAACGCCGCGAGTTACTACGACCCGTACTTGGGCCGCCGCCGGGTCGACCGGTACGACCACGCGGTCAATAGCGGGCTGACGGCCGGCCGGAACATGGCGCGGTCGCTCGTGGGCACGGGCAAGATGAAGGTCTATCGGCACCAGCCGCTGTTCCGCAGCCACCTCCCGGGCATTGGCGTGCTCATGGAAGGGATTGGCGAAGTGGATTCGTCGCTGCGGACCGTTGGCGTGTGGGTGCGGCCGCCCGGCACCGGGACGGACGTTGACGGCGCGCGCGGCATGTCGTATGAACGCGGCGTCGTGTACTACCTCAAGGGCAACAAGATCATGGGCATCTTGCTCTGGAACGCGTCGGACGTGCTGGAGAGCGCGCGGCAGCTGATGCTGTCGAGACCGGAGATCCGCGACAATGTCGTGGAGGAGCTGAAGCACACGATTTTGCTGGCGCCGAACGACTGGCTGCATGTGCTGTCGACGTGAGGAGTGTCGGGGCGGCAGCTGCTGCTTGTGGGGTGCAGGGACGTTTGCTGCAAGGCGGTGGTGGGAGCGGGACGTGTGTCGCCTGTCGGGCTTATGTTGACCGCGAGGCTCGCGGAATGAATGAACTGGTGTGGATGTGTCATGACGTGTGCTGAAGTGGGTTGGCGAGTGAAGTTGACGGTGTCGTTGTGTATGTGCGTCGCTCGAGTGCTATTGCTACTGCTGCTGAGGGTGTGTGAGGGTTAGCATGACGAGCACTGCGCGTACATTTGCAAGGCGAACTTTCAAGAGGACACTGCAATAACTGCGACGTAGACCCAATATGTACATCCGCCGCCTTCTCTTTGGGTCGGACAGACGTGCGGTGCAAAAGAAGCAGTTGATGCTGATGCAGCTGACACAGCACGTGGCCAATGGACCGCCAACGACGATCGACTCGTTCATCATGGACAGCTATTCACCAGAAGCAGTGCAAGAGCTACTGCAAGTCGACTCGGAAGCACTTTGTGCTATGGGATGGACACTTTGTATAGCGTAAGTGCAGTCTCGAACAGGTGCCAACAGGACTACAGATCGATCGATTATATGTCGGGTAGTGCTTGTTCGACGGTTCCACGCTGCACGGGGAGTGTTTACTACAACTGAGCTACTGATCTCTGCTGGATCTCGACAGCCTGACAAACGATACGAAGGAGTCCATGTCTCGGTGTCGCACAATCGGATAGTGCCGTTCGAGTGCACATATATGGGAAAAGAGCTGTTGCAAAGCGAGCAGCACCGAAGCGACTGCAGCAATCCGTTGCTTCGTGTAGTGTATCCTCAGCACGTCGTGGCAGCAGACGCTCTTCCGTTCCATCAGCACCACTGAACCATTGTCACCCCACGTGACTACTACGTGAAATATCGCTTCCATTGCACACTGCGAGTCACGCGACCACCGACTGACGAGAGACGCATACTGTGGTTTAGTACGCCGCATCACCACCGACTTCTTACTTGTAACACGGCGCTTCCAGCTGAACCAGAGCTCTTCCTCCCAGTCGATGTCCGAGTCGGCCGTCGTGGTGCAAATGACTTGCGACTTCGACCACCCGCCCGCCATACCGCATCGTCTGCGTGTTCCGTCGCGTGAGCTGGTACACGCTTTCAGCGTTCTGCCGCAGCTCCTCCATGCGTCGAATGAGCTCGCGCTGTCTTCGCGCTTGGAATTCCATCGACGACGGCGACGATGACGATGACGACGAGGACGACGTCGAGTTTTTTGCCGTAGCTTTCGGTGGCAAAGACGACGCGAGCGGATCCAGCGACGTCTCTGAAAACTCGGGCAGCTCCGAGAACGCATTCGGGGGCTGGGTCTTCCTTCGACCCGCTTCGGTCTCGTAGAACTCACTGTTCAAGTAGTCGTCGCTGTCCACGTAGTCGTCGCTGTCCGGGCAGTCGTCGTTGTCCCAGTAGTCGCTGTCCAAGTAGTCGCTGCCCAAGTAGTCGCTGCAGGAGCTGAGGCTGCCAGTGAAGTTCGGCTCCCGCCATCGCAGTTCGTTCGCGTTGCCGATGCCCGGCGGGTAACTCAACGTCCGCTTTCGGACCGGCACGTCCGAGTCGTTGGTGCTCAGACTTCTTCGTCGGGGGTACAGAGGCTCCACGTCGTCTTCGTCTTCGTCCTCTTCGACGGGCGCATAAAGACGCGAGTGAGCCAACGACGACGACGACGCCGACGTGTCGCTCGAAAGCGTCTTCGGACTCGATAGAAACCGGTGGAGCTGCGTGGCAACCACGTCGTCGTCCCTCCGGCGCGTCGGTTTCGTTCCCATGGACGACTGCGCCGTCAGCTCCACGCGCGCGACGTCTGCGGCACTAAAGATCGAGCCCTTGGCCACACACGCCGTGCAGAAGATGGTGTTCTTCTGCTTGAGCTCCTTCGGGCGCGCGACGCGGTAGCTCAGTCGCTTCGTGACGCGACATCGCGAGCAAACGGCTTCCGAGCACAGCTCGCAGTACGCGATGCTCCGGAACCGGTGCAACGCGGTCGTGCAGATGGCACACGGCTCGGTCGATCCGTGCACCTTCGACCACTTGGCCGAGCCATTGGCACGATGGCCGTTGCTACTGCTCTTGCAGGTTGTATTGCTACTGCTACAGTTGTTGCTGTCGTTGGCATGGACGAGTCCGTGCGCACGCTTGAACTGTTGCTGTTCGAGCAGGTACTCGAGCTTCTTGCTGCGGGCACACTCGACCGCGAGCGCGAGCTTCAGAATGGTCGTCACGGTTGAAGCCGTTGCGACGGCGCACGGGATGTAGCCGCTGAGGTCGACGAGACCCGTCATGTAGACGTCGACCGTGTGGTTCGCGAGCTGCCGGAAGAGGTTGCACGAGGCCACGCGGGCGCGCAGGACCTGGTGCTTTTCCGACAGGACCCCGAGGCCCGGGAGGTCCACCGAGTGCATGACGTAGTACCCCAAGCGCTCGCCGTTCGGGCGCACGAGGATGCCCGACGCCTCGACAAAGACAAAGTCGCGCTTGGTCGTGACCTTTGTCAGCTCGAGCACGTGCCACTTGATGCCGCAGAACTGAAACGGGTTCGCGACCGTCGGCGACTCGATGCAGTGCAGTAGTTCGGCGTCCACGAGCTCTTCGTTCGTGTACGACGCGCGGATGAACGTCGACGTCGTGTCGGTCGCGAGTAAGCCGTACATGACGTCTTCGAGCGTCCCGGCCATTGACCCAATGGTCAAGAGCTTTGGCGCCCGGTAACTCGCATCGCCCGTGTCGTCATTGCCCACGTCGGGGGCCGAAGACGGCCCTTTGATCGTTTCTGCCGGTGCAACGCCGGACCGATGTCGGTAGCAAATGAGGTTCTCTACCCGCTTGACGACTTTGTACTGAGATCGCGGCAGTAAGCGCCGGTGCTGGTGCTGATGCGTTTCGTACTCGGCTACGGTCTCGACGAGTGTCTGCTGCACGAGGAACTCAATGCGACCGATTTGAGCTGCCGAGAGCGCCGGGTAGTTGCCAAACGGGGCGCGAGACAAAGGGAATCGCATGCGACTGACCTCCTTCACAACGACAACCAGCAGCAAAGGACGAGGCCCTCGGACGCAGCAGCGCGTAACTTGAGTAATGCTCTGTCTGTCTGTCTGTCTGTCTGTCTGTCTGTCTGTCTGTCTGTCTGTCTATCTATCGGTCTGTCTGTTGGTCAATCGGTATTGCTAACTAACTCGCTCGCTCGATTGCTGGCAACAGGTCGCAGGTAGTCGGAGCAACTCACTTGACACGTGCCCCTTCGTGCGAAAGGTCTGCTGCGTTCAGGTCCGTTGCTGTATGCTTTTGAGTGTGCTCGAGCCCCACAGACAGAGCGAAGGGCTACGCCACGAACGAGGATGTAATGCTGCACGCGAGGCACACCGAGAGAGAATAGAGAGAGAGAGAGAGTTCTCATCGGTCGAAGGAGATTTTTTTCGTGCCTTTCGAGGCAGTACGTCTCAGCTCGTCCACACGTCTCACGAGACGCGGAGCAAGTTGCAGTCCAACTGTCGTTGCGAGGACAAGTGGCTGCTGGATACGGTTCCCACGCGCCGACTGCGACTGGTTGGACAGTGTCTGTCTCGAGGCGCTGGAAAAAAAGGCGATCGCCCGTGGCGAAGCGCCGTCCGACACGAGAGAGAGACTCGGAGCTGACTCTCGACTTTTGGCTCGAGCGTGCAACAGGAGGACGTGCTCACGACGATGTCAGTTGGCTCACCCACGACTCACAAAGCACGTGGGCCAAGTCGAACGCTCGGCCGGCAATATACGTGCGTGTGTAATCATTCGTCCGGACGCACGCGGCAACGGGTTCTGACTGACTGTCTCGTGAAAAGTTCAAAGGCCACCTGACCGGCGTCGCAAGTTGTCCACGCGCGGATGATTTTCCACGATACCGCTGGACTCGTCCGAGCGCGGCGAGAGAGAGAGAGAGAGAGAGAGAGAGACGCAACTACTTGTCATGTTGCAACTAGGTGGCGTGTCGATGGTATACGCGTTGGGAAGAAGGACCTGTCGAGCGGCTCAAGTTGTCGAACGTCGTGGATGGCGTATCCGACGAGATCGCTTCGGACCCCGAAAGAGAGAGAGGAGAAAGCTTTGAATCGGATATTTCTCTCGTGTCTCCGAGCTGAGCAACGAGTCGAGTGACCTGCAGAACGATACGGCGCGTCGAAGGAGAGCATCGTGTCGTCCCTGATCACAAGACAACGGTGGCACATATTTCAAGCTTGCACGAATGCGATCGGTGATGAAGATGGAGATGGAGACGACAATGATGATGACAGCGACACTGGGTCCATTCTGTCAGCTCGATAAATAGCACGGCGCATAGGCGTCGCGATGGTACTACTCGTCTACTTGCCACGGCCGACGGTCATCGCACGCGTCGAGCGCAGCCCCACGACGTTGAACGCAAACGGCTGCGAAAACGTCCGCACGCCTCGAAGAGTGTCAGCGGCGTGAGACGGCGACGACTTGGGCGCGCGGCCGCTATCGCGCTCCTTGAACGCCGCTTCCGTGTTGGCCCGCGCGACTTGGTAAGTCGATTCCACGACGTGGTGCAGGTCCTGCATTTGCTGGAAAAGCTGGTGCTGGTACGTAGTGGTTTCCTCGGACGCGACGATTGTGTTTGCGCGGTGCACGCGCGGCTGCGACCCGTCCAGAGCGAGCTCGACATCCGACTCGGACTCACTTTTTTCGGCACCTCGAGCTGCGTCAACGACATGGCGTCCTCGTCACTCTCTTGACAGCTATCGTCGGGCCGCTCGGACCTTATCGCGGGCGCTGACGTATCGTCTTCGTCGGCCATTTGCGGCTCCGCCACCTCAATGGCTTCTTCCGTCGGCTCCACCGTTCGCTTATCCGCTTCCTCTCCATCCGGCAAACAACGCTCTGCTGCCTCGTTCTCCTCAGACAGTTTCGGCTCCTCTGCCCCGAGGTCGCGCTCCGCGTGTGTTCCGTCCACCTGCAGATCGTCGTCGTCAACGGTCGGCTCTGGACCCGAGTCCGCCTCCCGCTTGCGCTTGTCGTTTTCACCTTCCTCGACGATCGGAACCTCGCGCTGAGACTGTGCAAAGTCACTTCGGGGCGTCTCGCACGCTTCGTTCGCGTCATCCAGCACGGCCACCGACGATTCGTAGCTCGAGCGGCCCTCGAACTCGTCACCGCTCTCGAACTCGCCGTACTCTTCAGTGCCCTCGCTCTCCAGTTCATTCACGAGGTCCTGCTCCCCCACGGACAGCACGTAGTCCAAGTGCCGCAGACTGCGGATCGTCATGGTCATGCGGTGATCCAGCACAACCGGCTCGTCCCCCGTCACCTCCACCTCTCCAACAACAACACCAGCAGCGTCGAGTGCTGCTCTACTGTTGTTCCCCATTCCAAGGTCAGTGAGCGACAGCGAGTCGCTCGTCGACGCGGCACTCGACAACCGGTCCGTGCTCATGCTCAACGTGCCCCGCATCATGTTCTTCGTCAACGAGCTCGGCACTTGCAACGGCGTTGACGACTGAGCCGACGCCGACAGTCGAGAACCCACCGAGTATTCCCGCGACAGGTCTTCTGGCTGAAGGTTGCGACCACGGCTGGAGCCGTCTCGGCCTCGGCCGTAGCTGTGACATCTCGTGGCCCCGTTGCCTCGGCCGATGGATTCGCTGCTTCCGCTGTTGGGGAGGCTGCCTCGACCGAGCACGACGGTCTCGTACGTGGACTTCTCCTGCGACAAACTCCTTCTCGAGTGCGTTGTCGAGGGCTCCGACTGCAGACATGAGCGGCCTCTTGTGCGGACCCACAGCTCCTGACGCGCGATCTCCAGCGCACTCTCGCCGCCGACACTTGCAACGCACTTTTTGCAAAAGTTGATGGACGACTGCGTGACCTGCGCATTGAGCGTACTACTGCTGAGCTTGCGCACGATGCGGCAGCGGCTGCAGATCTGCTCGCAGCACAGCTGGCACGACAGCGTCTTGGAGAGCTTCCCGAGCTTGCCGCGGCACACACCGCATCGACGACAGCGGGTCGTCGAGCTGTAGTCGCTGCGCTGGCTGAAGCTCTCCATTGTCTCGTGCACGGACGACTCGTTCACCGGCCTCAGCGCTGACGTTCCGGATCGAGACGACCTGGCAAAGACACTGCCCAGTGCGGCATTGCCACGCGACGAGAGCGTGATGTGCGCGGCGGACGGGCGCTCGTTCTGCAGACAGAACGCGAGCTTCTTGTCCTGGGCACAGCTCACGGACTTCCAGCAGTTGCTCAGCGCCGTGGCAGCCGACCGCACAGCCATGCGGTCGAGCACGTGTCCACTCGGGTCGACAGACGCCGTCATGAACATCTGCACGCAGTTGTTGCTCGTCTCCTCAAAGATATAGCAGCTCGACACCTTGGCCCGCACGATCCGGTGTTCCTGGAGCTCGCGGCACGTGGGGATCTGCACCGAGTGTATGAGGTAGAAGCCCACGCGCGAGTCGTCCGGCCGCATCATGATGCCCGAGAACTCGAGCACGACAAAGTCGCGGGGAAAGACGATGCGGCTCGCGCTGCGGTGCTTCGCGCGCACGAGCCACTTGATCCCCAAGAAGCTGAACGGATCGGCTACCGACGGCCCTCGGATCTCGCGCAGCACGGCGCAGTCGGCAATGTGCTCGTCGAGGTACGAGCTCCGGAGGCGGACGGACGACGCACTGGGCGACACGACGCCGTACATGACGTCGTCCAGTGACCCCCGCAAGGTGCCGACCGCCAGCAGTCGCGGCAGACCCGAGGAATCGGACTTGGTGCCGGAGAATGCGGCGGTCGTGACGTGCGGCTCGAACGACCTGTCCCCTGCACCGCCGCCGATACTGCCGTAGCTGTCTGGACGGGTTGTGCCGTCGAGACTCGCGTCGTGGACGTGCATGCCGGCAACCGACTTTGCCGTTCGCGGGGACGACAGCGGGCCACCGCTGCACACGCTCGTGGCCGACAGCAGATCGTGACTGAGGACGGTCGAGACCGTGGACGTCACGGGCCCCAAGCGGTCGTGCGCCATGTTGTGACTCGGTCGACTGCTGCCGCACGAGACGGTGCTCTGGTACAGCGCGAGACTCGTCGACGTCTGCTGACAGCCGTCTCCCCCGTCCGTGTCGCACTCCTGGTACATCGAGACGCCGTCGCGCGTCCGAATGAGTTTCCACCGCCGCGCGTCGACGCGTTTGTGGTCCCGCAGCACGAACCGGTCGTACTCGCCCAGTGTGGCCTTGACGAGCGTCTTTGCGAGCTGCTCGTAGTCCTGCTCCTGCGCACTCGAGAGCTCGAGCGGCGGGAACAGGTTCTTCGGCAACGGGAACTTCATGGCGGACGTGTCGCCGCCAGCCGGTGGTGCGACGTGGGCCAAGTTGTGCGTCGGAAACGCGACCGTAGTACCGGTCGGCGGTGGGTGTTATGTCGGACGAGCGACCGGCGCACCTCCTGTTGCTGCTTGCGGTCGATCGATCACGGGATCTGCTCCAGTCGCGGCAATGCACGTTCCTGGCCACCTCGAGGCGAGCGGGTCCTCTTGCCTCTGGTCGTTTGCCGAATGGCACGACGGTGGAAGAGCGCGTTGGCTGGCGAGTGGACAGCCGGCGCACATGGGCGCGCAGAGCAGAGCCCGCGCACGTGGCAATGCGACGACAGGGCGCCGTCGTCGATCCACAAGGCGCGTGTGTATCGGCGCTCTACCCCTCCAGATGGTCTCATGTGAAGACACGACACGACCGCCCCCGACCGTGCTACAGTCCCACCGCGTGCGGATACTCACGCGCCTTTTCCGTCATGATCGGAACCACAGGACGGTCTGAGCTCGTCGCGTGGCGAAGCGCTGCCATCGACAACCGACTGGTCGTGTGTTTTTCAGGCCGGCGGGGGTGGTGCCCCATCGGATCGCACACTTGCGAAATCGGTCGTGCACTGGCGCCGCTCGCAACGACACAACTGCAGGTGCGCAGGATCTTGCACGCGGTAGATGGGTTGGCAGACAATGGCAGTCGGACGAAGAGCGCCATGCGCTCCGAAACGTCGACAGTGGATTCTTTTCCGACTTGTGGTAGGAAGTCAGCGTCTTGTGAAGACGACGTGCTAGAGAACAACATGCTCGAAGAATGCGCTGGCGACGCAGCATGGGATCGAGGGAGGGAAAAAGAAGAGAGAGAGAGAGAGAGAGAGAGGGAGACGCACACGCTGCACGTCTTTACCATTGAGCTCTGGTGTTGTTGGCCACGAAAACCGCATCGTGTCGCCGTTCTCGGTCGGTGGGGTAGTTCATAAACTTGCAAGGCGACATTAGTAGCCGTCCACGAGACGAGGTGAGGTCTGTCCACGCGATGTAAAGCGTTGCTGCTGGTCGGAGCGTCGCAGGTACGATGTGCCTGTTCATGAAGGTTCTCATCGAGTGGCTCGCGTGTGACTCGCTCGTGTATGTAACCATTTTGCACAAGGGGCCGTGTCGTGCAAATGGTTACATACACATGCGCTCAGTGGTCTTGCAGCTACTCGTGCAATGGGACATTCACGGGCACTTGGGGACGAGCTTGCTCTACCCTCCCGATCACTAGACAAAGCCCTGCAGTAAACAGCAGGAGAAGCTGCTTGCAGCATTGCATCAACGATGTCGTCATTAGCAATGCCGCTAAGCAGATTGACATGCAAACGCGACATGTGCGGGTCGGTGCATCATGACCTTCTCGTGGACAGCACGTCACGCCAAAATAGCTCTGCACAGCACATTGACAGTCAAGACCTCGCGCGGGTCATCGACTCGGCAACTAACGTGACTCTCTCTCTCTCTCTCTCTTTCTCTCTTTCATCAGCAGCCCATCGTTTTCTGTACGAACGTGACTCTCTGTACATTGCGATACTGCAACACAAGCTCAACGCCACCCGCGTCTGCCTCGGGTCGTCTCGTTGCTTCACGCGCTCGTGCGGTCCATCTGCTCTACTCGCGTGCTGTAGTAATATCAATCCCACTGACTCGTCAAAGACGTCAGTGACGCATTTCAGCATAACGTCAACGAGGTCACTTGTCTTTGTCTACAGACGGTGCACCGGTGCCGAATAACGTGTCGGTCTACGGCTTCCGACAGGCGTCTCACGTGGTACGGCAAAGCTCAAACCGAGGGACCCGATCGAGGATAGCGCTGCTCGCGTCGAGCGCTATCGAACCAATTGTCAATCGAGCACAATGGCCAGCGAAGAAGGGGCCAACTCGATGACCACACTGACGTTAGATGTGGTGAGACTGTTGTTCAGTTCCAGCCACGAACGGGTCACCCCACGTGCGCGCTGCTTCCAGCTGTCTCGAGACGTGTTCGTGCGTGGCCATCGGTTGTTTTGCCATCATCTGAAGGGTTGTAGCATACGAACGCAAGGGGGGTCTGTCGACGTGCTCGGCAGAGTTGCGGCTGGAAGACAGCAGTCAGCACAAATCGCTTCGCAGCAGCACCGTATGTATTACATGAGTCGGGTAGCCGCTCAGACAGAACAGTAAACACACGGAAGATGCATGTCCGACTTTGTACGATTAGCGCGCTTGACAATGACATGACGGTAAGGCCCAGTGTTGGCTGCCAAGCATTTTGCCGTGGGGTACGTCTGTGCGAGCGCCGATTGCATCGTTCGGTTGTGCCATATTGTCCTGATGACGGACGACCGGTTGCGTGCAGACGGAGTTCTTATGTTGTTTGCTGAGCAATATGGACAAGTGAACCAGCAGCTGCAGAGGCAGCGAGCAAAGGCGTCGCGCTTGACGATCGCGCGGTGCGAAGTCGTCAGCTTACTGAGCTGCGAGGGAGACCGACGACCGCACGTCAATCGGCGCTCTGGACAATGACATTCACTGTGTCGGGTGCAGGCGGCGAGAGGATGGGGTTATCGTTCGTAAAGCCTACACCTTTGCGTCCTCGAATGGAGCGTTCTGTCTGACAAGAAGAACGAGTATGTGACGAGTATGTGACGAGTATGCGACGAGTATGCGGTTGCCGCTTTTTATCGCAAGTCGGGGTGTTGCTCTGCCGAAGCTCAGCATCGCTACTGGTCATTGTCGCTGGTCGGTTCGATGTTGCAAGTGTCTACCAGAAGACGGGTCGCGGCTGCATGTCTGAAACACGCACTGTTGACGTCATCCCTAGAGCGCTCAGTGATGCAGGTAGGGTGGAAACGAGTGGGTGATGTTGATGCGACCTCAATGCATGGACGTCAGATGCCCTGGAAGTCGAGGACACCTGACCGCCATTGTCGCATTGCCAAAAAAGCAGAGCAGACCGGACGTAGCCGTACTTGACAAACTTACTGAGAACATGTACGTGCCCGCAAGAGCAATACTTGCTCCTCATAGTAAGCACCGCTCAGTTGTGTGACGTCGTCATTTGCAGCGCATGAAAAAAAGCTGAGCTGCTGACGCTGCAAGCACGAGGTAGTGAGACTTGTCTTTGTATCGTAGAATGTAGGAACTGCGATCTGGGTTGGTAAGCATGGGACCTCTTGACTCACGCTTTGCAGTCCAAAAAGATGGGGCTTAGCTGCGTTCGTGCATACTCGCTCCAGTATAGTTTCGTTGACATGCTCGCGTATGAAAACGCAGTACGAACACCATCAGTTGAGCTGACAGGTATCGGGAAGCACGCACCGATCGTCATGGGTATCATTTTTCGCTAGACAGACGAGCAACAGAGCGCTGTGCTGCTGTAAACTTTACTCACCAGTCGAGGTGACCAACTTATACGTAGGCGTATACCACACGCCAATGTGAACGTCAGGTTGAGCAACGCAGTTGCTGTGTTGTGCTGTTTGAGCACGTACGTCAAGCAAACACATATCGGGCAGTGCAGAGGAACGTTCTGCAGCCCAACCCGCAGCTTCTGCTGCATGCTTCTCGTCCGCTTCACTTCCTCCGTCTACGGTTCAACAATTATTGTGGCCATCGTCGTCAATGTTGCGTGTCAATGTGAATTTTGTCGTTTCGTCGCGACCAGCCATACTTGTTCAGCAGTCGCCTTTAGAAACGCGCATAGAAACGTCCGCTACCTTCGTCCCACATGCACCCACCCACCACCCACCCACACAACATCACTCGTGGATCGACGTGACCGATTGCGACCCGCAGCACCACACGTCAGTCGTCGACACCAAAGCGCCTCCTCCCGCCCATGTTGTGCAGTCTGAGCGGCCAAGTGCCCGTCGAGCCCGTCGTGTCGCTCAAGTCGGGCCACGTGTTCGAGAAGCGCCTGTTGCTCAAGTACCTCGAGCAGAACCAACGGCGCTGTCCCATTACGAGCGAAGAGCTGGACGCCGAGCGGGATCTGCTGGCGCTACAGACTGCCACACTAAAAACGTCGAGGACGACCCCTACCGCCGCCATCTTATCGCCCGAGGCCTCGAGTGTGCCCCAGTTATTGACGACGTTCCAAAATGAGTGGGACGCCGTGATGCTCGAGACGTTCACACTCAAGCAACATCTCGAGCAGACGCGGCAGGAACTGAGCCACGCGCTGTACCAACACGACGCGGCGTGTCGCGTGATCGCCCGTCTGAACGCAGACACTGCGACACTCCGCCAGCAAGTGGCGCACTTGACCACCAGCCAGTCGCGATCGAACGACGGCAACATGGACGGGTCAAGTGCAACTTCAACCGCTGCTCGCGCCCACCCCAGTGCAACGCTTGCGCCCGACGTCTTGACGGCCATTGAGGCAACGCAGAAACAGCTGGCGACGCGACGGAAAGCGTTCAAAAAGACAGACGGGCCGCAGCGCGCGTCGCTTCTCAGCGGACTCCCCAACTGGCGCCTCGCGTCGAGTCACACGTTGCACGACGCCGACAAGTCGGGCGTCACGTGCGTCGCCATTGACCCCAAGCGCCCGACGCGCGTGGCGACCGGCGGCGTCGACAAGCGCGTGCAGCTGTTTGACACGCACGCGCAGCAGCTGCGCGCGACGTTAGCGGGTCACGGCAAAAAGGTGAGCGACGTGGCGTTCCACCCGACAGCTGAGCTCGTGGTCACGGCGTCGCACGACAAGACGCTGAAGCTCTGGACGGCCGCTGCGTCGGCGGACGAGGCCTACCGCGTGGGCCACACGCTCGACGGCTTTGACGACGCCGTCACGAGCGTGTCGGTCCACCCCACGGGCGACTACGTGCTCTCGGGCGCGCTCGACGCCACGTGGGCCATCCACGACGTGCGTCAAGGCCACTTGCTCTCGCGCTACGCGCTCTCTGGCGCCCTCGCGCGGCCGGGGGCCACTGTGGCCAGCAAAGACGCGACGCGGTGCGCGCGCTTCCACCCGGACGGCGGCATCTTTGGCACTGCAGCAGCGAGCAAAGTCGTGCAAATGTGGGCCGTCAACACGCTGTCGAACGTCGTGACGCTGACGGGCCACGCGGCGCCCGTGGCGGCGCTGTGCTTCTCGGAGAACGGCTATTACCTCGCGTCCGGCAGTGACGACGGCGTGGTCAAGTTCTGGGACCTGCGCAAAGCCACGAGCTTCTTGGAGCTCGACCTGAAGCAGATGGGGCCGGATACGCTCGAGCTCGGGTCTATTCACGCCCTGAGCTTTGACGCCAGCGGCTCGCACCTTGCCGTGGCGAGCGCACAGACGGTGCAGGTGCTGAAGGAAGTGAGCAAGAACGGCTGGGAGGTGGTCAAGTCGTTCAGCGAGCACAAGGCTGCGGTCACGGGCGTGCAGTTTGCGCCGGACTCGACGTTCCTCGCATCGACGTCCATGGACCGCTCGCTCAAGCTGTACCGGTAAGCGGACAGACGGCTCGACGCTCGACTTTGTTGTTGTTTGTAACGAGGGCCGACCCGTTCTCTGGATCGAGTTGGGAGCGATGAAGGGGGTGATGATCTACGCACACGATCGGTGAGTGAGTGGGTGGATGGGTGGCACGAAGATGGCGTGAAGAGCGGTCTTTTTTCTCTGTCGATGCTGCAGTGCGTTGACTAACTCTCGAGCTACTCTCGACACAGTGCAGTCGGGTAACCGCTCGCCGGGCTCAGGAGACAACAATACAATTTGGTTGAAGCGACGTTCCAATTAGCGGTCGGAAAAAGACACTTGAAGGCGACTTTGCTCGTGCGAAGGATTGGCTGAGCAGATGTGGATGCAAAAAAGCGGTGCCGCTTTATGGGCAAATGCACTTGCAGCACGTGAACAACGGCGTGCAAACTGCCGCTGTTCGGCCGCTTTCACGAAGTGAGTCTGACCGTTCTACTCGGCCTCTTGTGGCTCTATGTCTCTCACGCTCCTCAGACGTTGGCCTGTTTGCTACAAGTGCTTGCGGTGCTTTCGTGAATGCGCCATCAGCTGTATGGCCCAAGTTGGCCCGAGATGGAGTAAGCTTCTTGTAGAGCCCGTCGTTCGAGGTGCTATCGTGCGCCTGCTAACGAGCAATAAGCTCCAGCGATCGAGCAGTCTCTGCATCTTGTGGTTGTACCTAATCGACTGCGGCTGTCTCAGTCGCAAGTGTGTTTACCTGTCTTTCCTGCGTCTACTTCTCGACCAAGTAGCGTTCATCAGGACCTCTTCGCTTGCGTCTAACCTTCTGCTCGGCGCTTTTGCTCATGTACTTTTACTGTCGACTTTGACGGCATGTATCATGTTGACATCTCCGTGTCAAGTCAGGTTGCCAAGGGCTACAACACGCTACACAGTCCGAATGAAGCGTCAGCTTAGGCCGTCCATGCCTACATGCTCGGTCCCCGAAAGAGTTGACGAAGAGAAGGATAAGCGTCGTCCGCGACATAAGCGGTAGACAAGTTCTTCGATGGCGTTGATGCGAGCTGAAGCACACGTTGTAGAGGAGCAAAAGACGGGTACATGTTACCGCATCTGCGGGATTGTTCGAGTACTTCCATTGTGCATCGGTTTGAGTCCCACAACAGCCTCGTAGCTTAATACGAACGAAAAGCTTGATCAAGGTCTCGAGCCGTACGAGCGCACAGTGCCATCGTACTTTCGAGCACCAGACTCTACGAGTCGTGCACGTCGTGCATCAATGTGCGGACTATGGCTCAAGTATGATTTGAAGCGATCGCGGTGAGGTATTTGTCAGTCTTCGGCGTTGGATAATTTCGTTATCGATTTCAGAATACACGATACGGAATAACAATGGCCGCTCCTGCCTGACTCGACAAAGTTTTCGGAGCAAACGAAGAAGCGAGATGCATATTCGGTAGCTAACCGTCTCCGTCATCACTCTGCTGTGATCCCTCAAGTTGCCTCAAGTGGAACTTTCGTCAAAACAAAAGTTGGTGAGAGCAGAGCTGTAGTCGCTTCGCTGGTGTACAATGGAGGAGAAGTTGGCCTATTCTGTTCCTGGTCCGTGTAGCACACTAACCAAGCCTTGACGCGAACGGTACTGCATTATAAAGTGAGTACCAATAAGCCTTCTGACAATCTAATCTCACGTTACTTGCTCTCGGAGACCTTGTCACAGCTGAGTGCAACTCCAAGCTGCAATATACCAGTCGTGCGAGTTTCCTGAACATGCTAGTTGGCCCTTGATCGACCACGCTCTTTTGGACGGTGTGCGTCAGTCTCTCCTCAAGCTCTTTTTGTCGCTCTGTGGTCGCATTCATATACATGCGAGCAATAAAAAGCCATCGGCAGGACAGGAGGAGCAGCATGTGTCGCTTCTTTCGACTAGCATCACGTACAGAGACATTCGCGTACGTTCGCGGACATCGATTGACGATAAACTGCCTAAACTCCATTCTTGTCCTGCACTAGTTGGAACGGGGTGACCCCGTCACATGGGACTGGCATATGTACATGCCGATGTAAAGAGTATCTTTACAAAAAATGTCCGTGCACATCTCTTCGAGCGGTGATAGTCAGTGACTTCTGCGCGTTCGTTGGTATACGTCTTCAAATCGACATACAAAACGTGCTATCAATGATGAACGCGCGCAACGAAAAGCTAGCACATTGTCAAAGTTTGTGTTTGTGTTGATAGTTACTGCATCTCATCAGCAAGCAGTACATACAAGCATTCACTAAACGTATAGAGCAGCGAAGTCTTGTGCCTATGGTACCGTGACGTAGCTACCTCCAGCAACTGCAGTACAACCACCAGTGACAGCTTCATATGCAGCGACTCCATCGGCAGTAGTCCGGACGGGGCAACCTTAGTGCCTGTATTACGCCAGAGATTGCAAAGACTCCATTGGGTCGTGACGTCATCTCCGCAGGCACTGCGCGCAGAGTTTCTGGAATAGACTGTTTCCCCTATGAGCGCAAGTGCTATGAATAAACGATAAGAGAATGCGGCAGGTGAGTCAGCTTGGATGATCCCGTTAGTCTGCACTTTCAGGTCTTCTCTACTTTTTTGTAGCATTGCAGATACAAGAAATATGCGCGCAGCGGAAGCAGCGTCTCACGGACAAGTACTGCTACCTACGACGGCTGAGCTGCGTTTCGAGGTGGCACTTATGTAAGACTCACTGCTCAACTATTGGCAAGCTATAGCAGTAAAAGCAAGGCAGCATTAATGTTGTTGTTTGTTGTTGTTGTTGTTGTTGTTGTTGTTGTTGTTGTTGTTGTTGTTGTTGTTGTTGTTTCAGAGGTAAGATCAGCCGTCGTCTCACTTTTCTCTCATCCTTCTCTTTAACGCATCAGCACGCCAAGCGTGGCCCAATCCCGCGTTAGTCATTGCAACGCTGAATTCAGTACATCCCACTACGCACGACCCCTTCGTCCTCCAGCGGCCAATCTCAACCATTCGATGTTGGCACGTGACTATCCACACCTTGATCAAGAATCCAGACTGGATTGCTTCTACCGAAAGGAGAGGCTCCAGAGCTCACTCCTCCATCTTGCGCAAAGTTCCGTCTCACAGGCTCATCGCTTTTGGATCGTATGGCAAGATGGCAAAGCACAGACAAGTATGGCTCCTCTCGTGCCTGCAAAAAAACACACACTCCAATCTTGCCGAGGTCATAGATGTGTCTTCTGTCGTATGTGCAGCGTAACTCAACCAAAGCGTTCATTGGAAACTACCAGATGACGCGTACATCAGGAAAAGTACTGAGCAAGGCCGAAGTGCCTATTCCACCGTTCATCGTTGCGAGATGTCGGGCATGCACTAGTCTGGACGGCAACGCCAGCACGCGGTCGAGTCAGGTGATCGTGCGGCTGGTCAGCATTGGTGGCACTCTTAGGATTGTCCGGCTAGACTATTGCAGCAAATTGTCAAGCGGGTATCGAAATTGATGTCCTTCTAGACCGCTCGAGCGGTCCGCTTCTACGCGGTTGCGGGAGCGACGACGCGTGTCGTCGGGTGCAGTTCTCTCGATTACCAGTGACGCACGGCCTGTTAAACTGACTTGTCCGACCACCGCAGCGATAGCGCGTCGCGCGGGGACGGTCGAAAGTAGAAGCAGGGTGGTGGTTGACCAATTCTCTGTACCATATCGCACACGTTTACAACACGTAGAAGCGGGATGGGTGGTGTTTACCACCTCTCTGTATTACAGTGCTCACACGCTGCATGGGCGAACTGTCGATTACCACGTTGTCGTCTGTTTACATGAACCCGATGACGAGAGGCTGCGCACATCATTCGTGATCTCGTGTCCAGACGGTACGTCGTTTACTCAGCGAAACGTCACGTCGGTGTGTCAATGCTGCATGCTGGTACATGTTCTCACGGCAGTCACCTTCTATTTAGTAGCAAGTGGACGTCGTACCACGAATACTGCAGCAAAGCCATTTGCAAGAAAGGGTCCGTTGTCATACAGCGTCCGCGACAGTAGCTTGACCGACTCGGTAGGGCATGGCACAATCGCGAGCGCCTCTCCGGCGGCGTCTAACTGTGACACCATCTACCAATGTCCATGGCATGCTTATGTCGTAGCCATCTAAATGTAATGCTTAACATGAGATAGCACATTTCGAGGGTCTTGTGCGTCGGAGTCGCCAGCTCTGCACGATATTACAAGTGCGTGTATGGAGCTTTGTTGGGCGGTAATCGCGAGCATGTAACTGCCAACAGCCTTGTGGGAAGTACAGCTGTTTAATCGTTTGTAGACCAGCAAACACGATCACCAGCACGACGAGGGGGTACATCTTCGTAGGCCGTCTTTCGACAACGACATCCGCTTTAGCTCTTCAATCCAACGATTTTCACGGTACAGTGCCCCAACGGGTATATCGTTTCGATCAACAGTGAAAGCTTGAGACGAGCAGATTCATACGGACACGACTGACTCCACCGAGCACAGGAGGGTAAAGACCACGGAAAGTGCCTCGTGCTCTGCGTTTCGTGCAACTACAAGCAGCGCCGTAGACAACTTACTTTTCAATCTTGCTCATCAAGCACAACCAGCTCATCTCACGCCAACCGCCATCGACGATGAAACTCTTTCCCACTGCACTCACTGCCCTCGCTCTCGCTGCGGTTGCTACCGACGGCTCACCCAACGTACGCGCGGCTGTTGCAAACAGCAAACACATGCACAACGTGGATCAAGAGAGCCCTTTGCAGGAGTACCAGCCTAGTAGCTCTGCGAGCAGCAATGGCTGCAACCTCACGGGCACGTACAAGAAAGGCACTGACGTTTCGTCGTGCAGCTCCATCACCATCGATTCACTCAGCGTGCCGCCTGGTGTGATGCTGGACCTGACGAAGACGAAGAGAGGCGCCGTCATTGAGTTCAAAGGCACCACTACTTTCGGACAGCAAAAGTGGAACGGTCCACTCGTCATGGTCACTGGAACGGATCTCACCATTAAGGGACCAGGCATCCTTGACGGGCAAGGAAGCTGGTATTGGTCCCAAGGCGCGTCCATCGTACGTCCAGTCTTCTTTCGTCTCCAAAGCGTCATCAACTCGAAGGTGTCTGGGCTCAAGATCCTGAACATGCCCTACCGGACGTTCAGCGTCGTGACGTGTAAGAACACGGTTATATCTGGTCTCACGATCGACTCGAGCGCAGGCGATGGCATCGCCGAGAACACGGATGGGTTTGACTTGTCCAAGAACGAAGGGGTCACGATCACCGGCAACACGATTCACAATCAAGACGACTGTCTCGCTATGCAGTCGAGCACCAACACTGTCTTTAGCTACAACACCTGCTACAATACGCACGGCATCTCGATCGGGTCCCTTGGTGGCAACGCCGTTGACGCTTCGACGACGGTGCGGGGTCTGACTGTTGAGGGCAACACGATCGTCAACAGTGACAACGGTCTCCGTATCAAGACCCTCATTGGCCTTAAGGGACTCGTCACTGACGTGAAGTACATCAACAACAAGGTTCAGAACGTAAGGAACGCGGTCTCTCTCCACTCGAACTACCACAAGGGAATGGGCAGGTACTCGGGTCCGCCTACGAGTCAGGTGCAGATCACCAATATCATGATCTCCGGTCTCACTGGCTCGGCGGAAAAAGTGTACGACATCCAGGTCAACCCGAACGTGGTATCGGGTTGGAACTTCAAGGCCATCGATGTGAGCGCGTCGATGGAGAGCACGGTAGAAGGCATGCCCAATGGCATGGCCGCTTAATCTCCCGTAGTTGTGGCTACTCGTCTCGTCTGTAGGCATCTTCATGGTAAGCAACGCGTAGCTTGCGTGAGATGTCGATCAAGTCAATGTAATCCATGTCAATGCTTTCATGGCCCGTTCGATTCTGACATGTGATCCGTTAGTCTGCTGGCTCAAAGGTCCGATCTGGGCAACCACTGATTTGTTGAGCATAGGACTATGTACGTCATGCTGACATGTTCGCGTTTGCCGCATCAGTCGATACCTACGTGACAAGTCCAACGATCCATTGACACATGGTTTTCCTGCCTTAGGTCTACCATGCAGTACTTTGCCTCGTTCTTCATCTTCGCGCGGATGGCACCTTGCATACCGATCATTACTGTTCTCGCCACTCCCATGTCATTTGCAAAGCTTCTCGTTCTCGTACTCGGCTCTACCGTATAACACGAACGACACGCCAAGCTGTTTTCATCCGATCTTGCGCTAGTATAGTCAATAAGTCCTCGTGTCACACTTGCTCGACGACCTCACCACGGTGCTAGCTAGCCACATGTCAACGTGAATCAGCATCGAGGCTTCCAGTCGGTTTCTCAGCACGATGGAAACAAGCAACGTACAAATAAGCGGGTGACCACGTATGCTCACACTGATTCACATGGCAAGGCCGCATACAACAAAGGCAACTCATGCTGGCATACTTGCCCTTTTGCCGCCGCCCAATCTTCGTATGCGAGCGCAAAGCACAGTAGCATGATTCTCTAGCTAGTGACGTACGTGCTACAGGCTTCAACATCACGAATGTATGTGGCATAGCACAACGGCCGCGCTTGTCGCATAAATAAGTGTGGAAGAAGCTTTGGCTCCAGCATCTGACGAGAGTGGCCGACGTTCGTGGTAATATCTTCCAACAATAGACAACCGCTGTGCTCAAACGATCTACTCTCTAGCAACATCAGCAACGTTAGTCCTACGATGTTGATCAGGCCGTCTTCACGCCGCCAGTGAGTAGTCGGACCCTTCATCGGCTCTTCGTCGAAGACGGCTCGCGTGCGAATTCGGGACCAGACGTGTAACAAAATGCATCAATGACAGAAATACCGAAACCGGAATCGAATGCATCCAGTCTTTCTCGTTATTGATCTCGCCCGCAACGCTCGCTTGCTTGAGCGCACTTTCCTGGCGAATCATTCCCTCCAATATCCGCGAAATTGGATGGGAAGGAGTCCGATCTACATCGCGGGTCCAAATCGCGAGCATTCGTCGTTCCTCTTCTCGCTGGTTACGTTAGTCAAACGTTGCGATTCGAATGAGACACATTGGTTTTTTCATATCCTGCCCTTCAATCTACTCGCGATTTCGCTACATTCCCAACGAATGCGCATGTAAAAAGACTGGAATGATCAAGTTGAACCATGTTTGAATCTGGCGTGCGTTTGATTTCGACATCTTCTCAGCCTTTTGTTGCACCCCTCCCGCATGCTGAGTCGTGACGCACCATTGGCCAATCATATTCTAGAATTCCTCCATCGGACACTTCGAGGCTTTTTGTAGGCATTTGTTTACCTGAAATGCAGACAAAACCAGAATTCGTAAAGAAATGTCCTCTGCGAACAGATGTGTGGCACGTGAGTCGTTTCAACCTCCACCAAATTTGGTCCTGGTGTGATCCACGATACGTGCAAGCTTCAACGGTATACCTTGCTCAGGGAGATACTGGCGATTAGCCGGATCCTTCAATCTTGAGCGCGTATATGTATCAGTGTACTACATTGGCCGATCGAATGCGGTCGCCACGTGGATTGCTCGCTCGTATTAAACAGGTGCATATACATGACAATTCCATCAGGGTATTGCTGGTCGCTAATCGTCCCTTAGTATACCTCAATTTCAACAACTACATAACACTCCCTTGCGATTCACTCATGCTGTTCTTAGCACGGATTGATCTCACTGCGCGCGCGGGTTCAGAGTACATTGGAGCGGAGGTATCCTTTTACCGAAACTTCGCTGACTATGTCGTCGTCTCCCTTTGTAAAAATCAGCTACGCTCCTATCCGAGTAGCATTATCTCTGTTGTCTTCGAGCCTTCAACACGTGACAATAGCACATTGACGGATGAATCCAAATCGTTCATCATTTTTACGAAATGATCGACACCTTCTTTGTAAACGGCCGGCAATCCAATTTTCACGTGTGTGCTCGTCTGCATACCCATCATATCCAGGTAGCAAAGAAAGGATAAAGAGTTTTCATCCCGTTCATCTCGAGCATGATAGTATTGCCTTCCAATCGATACTCCTTTATCCGCCATATGTTTCCAGGAAACGTCCAATAACACTTCCTTGCTAACCGAGTCGATCGGCTTAGCTGACGATAGCAGCAATGCGCTGGATCGACATGGAAGCCGGCGAAACCCTAAGGCGTCTTCTCATCTTGTGCCTGGTCGCGAAGGAAGGCCGATTTGATGTTGCCGATTTAGCCACACGATCGGGCTTCGCCTCAACCTTTACCCGTAAACTTCGGTATCACAATCACCCTGATTCTCTGAGCGGAAAGTCTGCTATCGGTTATCATTCTTGTGGTGACCACTTGTGTTCCCCCCGATCTGAGACCTATAATCTATCGAGATTATATTCGATTAAGCAAAAAGGTCCGAAAATCCAGACAACCACATCTCCAAATCTGATGCATTCAGAGTTCTTCTTACCCTGTGACATAAATAGGATGTGGAGATGTAGTCGACCTGTCATACTTCGGTCTACTCGTTCGCCTACCTTTTGTTCCGAACAAACTTCTTCATCACCCCTGACATGTTAATCCATTTCATAGTCAATCCATATGTATGGTTCATTAGCTACCACAAATGGGGTCTGCTAGGCTTCGATATTCAGCTGTGTAGGTACAGGTTACAGCTGGACTTCGTGTAACTGATCTAAAATGTGACGAGGCCAGACGATTCCAGGCACATTTGACGAAGAACTTATTGTATTTTGATCTTCAGATTCTCCGAGACATATCAAAATTATTCTGTACTATGTCCCTTGTCAACGTCGGGTGGCAGGCGTGATATTGTATTAGTTACCTCAATCTTCTATTTTGGCAACACCGTCTTGTAAACAAGGAAGTTGGATCTATGTAAACGCATACATTACAATTTACGGAAAATCCAAACTGCATTCAATCAGCTCGTTTGCATCGTAAGCCCTAGCCGAACAGTAGTTTACTTTCGTACTAACAGCGTGATTGCGCCTATCTAGATGTGACTCCTCGGGATGACGATGTAGGTCGGCTCGTCAATTCGTTCAGCATTATTTGTAGCTTTCAATAATGAAGGGTCCGTCTTCAGGCTTTTCTTTATCTTTTATAGCAGCATTAACACACTATATGCCTCACAAATGGATTGCTGACTCGATCTTTGGTACACGGTACATGACAGTCTACGGTCGGCCATCTTTTCTTTTGGCGATCTTCGCTACATTCCGTATGTCTTTATAATATAATTTTTTCTACGATCTCATCGTTTCCGCCTTTCAACGCGTCGATCTGGCCGTTTTATTTTCCTTGTATTGTATATCGAGGTTGTATCAACGGAATTGGGTTTTACTTTTGCCACTAAATTTCTTCTAGCAAATCGCATTTTCGGTACAATATGTGAAAGCACCAAAGATGCCTGGGATAACTTGAGGTTGGCTGCCACATCAATTTCGGTATCCGACTTTCGATCTTCCACTTTCAAGATGTTGTCGATAACTATCTGACGATACTGTGATGTTGCTGTTTATGATGTCTGTGTCGATACCTCTGTTGGAGAGTCGATATCGGTACCAAATATCGGTAAAGGGTAACATGACTTAAGCTCTTTGGGCGATATATTACGTGTTATCCCACGCGTACTAAGCGGGCATAGCCCATAATGGCTTGGTGATTTGCCGGCAATGTTATCTGTGACATAGACTGAGTCGCTGAGCAGCCAACAGCACCCGTCGTATCTGTATGTGCCACTCCACGCGCGTCAATAGATCTCGGCTCAGGATTTCTTGGCCACGGGCCAACGATCGTTCCAAATCCATCAAATTATTACTGCAATGTCATTAAGCCAGCAATTCACGGTCATTTTCACTACTTGTCGACAAGCTTACAGCTTGTTTTTGTACATATTTGGGGTCAACAGCATTTGACGCTTCCATGCCTAAGCACTAATCCAATCGGCTCCTGTTCACACCAATAGCAAATGTGACATCTAGCAGAAGTGCGCTCATGAATCATCAGAGCCACTCTTAGAGCCGTGCGCGTCGTGCAAGAGTTTTGGACTTTTCATCCGTCCTCGACTTGTGGCTCTCTATTCAAGTCATTCCTATGATGAGATCATAGCTTTGTCTTCGGGTCAACTCTAAAATAGCGTCACACAGCGACACGCATTTCTGATGCCGTTAAAACATTGGTAGTCTTAATACTAAGTATTTAGCGCTTCAAAATATTGCTGATTCAATTTAGGAAAGATTGTACAGGCGTTATGTGTTGTATTCAGAAAGCATCAACGGGCTAAATTATGCTTACCGAAGTGGGTCCCTCATTGGTAGACCCGGACCTCTACCTCCCCCGGATCATAAAACACCGTAGTTCGTACCCAGTAGAGCGCCCCACGCCTACTGGGAACCAACGATGACCGCTCAAATCTAGGTTTAACTTAGGGAGAAGGCTCGGCTCGTTGGAGCCTGGCTCTATTTGCGCAGTGGAAAGGTGGACCCATGTGTAACGTGCTTCCGCAATTTAAAAGGTCGCAGACTTTACTTCGCTAACTAGCAATCAAGGCGTGACTTTTTATACCGAAGTAGCATTTTCTGAGCTGATAATATTGCAACTAACGCAGCGAAATAAAGGAGATCGAGCATGGAGGTGTCGGACCAGTCTTTTCTACTACTAATCGACTAGATTTACATCTCGTACCTGATGGCACACAAGTAATTGTGGTAGAAAATACATATAATTAAATACGAGAGCATTTGTAGTCTGTACTT